CTACTACTGCAACGATGAGAACGGTTTAGTTGAAACAACTATGTATCGTAATGACGAAAGGACCATCCTCCCTTCCCTGCTGAAGATGGTACTTCCGAACAAAAATATACAATTTATAATTTAGATTTTGAAGTATCCAAAACTCTCTTTGCCTAAATTTGAAAAACTTCATTCATCGTTGTTAATATCACTTTAGAATTTCAAATTCGTCATGGTACAACTTCCATTTTCCATCTTCTTGCTTCCAAATTTGGAAAGAATTTCCACGCTCTTTACCCTTCTTTGGTGAGTCAATGATGACTTCGCAAGACATGCATATACAGCAGTCACAACCACACGCTTTCTCATTCTTCCGCTTAAGGATTAGAAGTTAAAAGCGTTAACATTGGAACTTCTCAAAAATGCTTACCTCAAATTTTACTTGTCCGTATTCCTCTTCCATTTTACTGAACATCTCTTTTATGGCTGCAATGGAAGATTCCAGCAGTAAAATTAAGAAAGTTAAAAAGAAAAACATACCCTTTTTGCCATATTGCGCACCAACTCCTTTCTGTACGACTACGGCATCAGTGTGGAAATAATTATCAATGGTTCCCACAAGATTTCCAGCGTAGTATTCTTTTTCCCAAGCGTCAGAAATCGCTTTCATAATAGCTGCTGCTTCTTTAGAGAAACAAAAATTAGTTCCTTCTTTATTGGCTTCTCCGATACTACTTTAATTTTAAAAATGTATAGCATTGTTTAAGAAAATGGAAAAATTGTACCTGAATCTTTCATAATTGATGAATTAATGGATTGATGTTCTCTGATGTATTCTGAAATAAGAGCTTTGATTAATAGCTGTTTCATTTGCCATCTTATTCGTGAAGGAATGGAGGAAATGAGGTAGAGTGTCACAATAAAAGTAGTATGCAGTGAATTCTTAACTTTTCTAGAAGTTCTTCTTTATGCTACGATTGAGTAGTGTAAAATTATCGTAACTATAGGATTCAATCGATAAAATGTGGAAAGACACTTAGGGAAAGTGAGGAAATAAGGGATAACGTTTGGTTTGCTTCAATGCTTCCTTTATAGCTAGGAAATGTAATCTGGCCAATCGTAGAAAAAGTTGCTGCTTGGGAAGGGCAAAATGTGTGATAAGGGAACAGCAGAAAGTCACAAAACACAACACGAACGGTAGTGATCCTTAAATGTCACGAAATTGACTACAAAACATAGGATGTGAATGCTTTGCATGGATCAGTTACAAAAGTCCATAGGCTTGCCTCAGGAGTGGGAGGCAATCATTCACTTTGTTTAATATCACATTGACGCCACCCGTCACCATAAGTAGTGTTGTGCGGATTTATTTGTCGTCTAAAATACGTGAATACTAAGATAAACTTTGTATTTTTGTGTTTTGTATTTCTGTCATATGTGTACATACTCAATCGCCCACTCGGCGGCGTTTACTTTGCACGGCTCTTGACCTTCATTGCCAATCATTTTTACACAGATCATGATGGCGGCTAGTATAAGATTTGTTAAAAATAA